AAGTAATTATACTAATATGACTTGGAGTTTATTATTTTAGATTGATATTCTCAGGCACATCATATGCTATTTCAGTTTGCAACTGTAAATCATTTCTCAGACACGCACTGAGTGACTCACATTCACCATCTCCAAGGATGGCCCGAAAAGGTAAACAAACCTATCAAAACCGTGTCACATTAAGGTGACTATAAAGTCAGTTACAGACATGTCCGCAGAAACAATCTCATGCACTCACAGTCAACTCTATTATTTCACAGGCCCCCTCGTCACTCTGTCCTACGGAGCCCAACACAATTCCAGTCATAAAATCTCCCTCATTCCGGTCCCCCTAGTCGCACTGTCCCAAACACAGACCAGCCACCACCACTGAAAGAATCCCACCTAGAAACCACCCTGAAGACAGACAGCGCCGTCCTCGGTCACAGAGCTCCCCAGTTGGCTCCACGGAGACTCACATTCACGAGCGTCTCTCTTTAACGCCCCAGCCGTCTGCCTCCGCCCCGCCCGCCTCAGGCACTAGCTGACTCGCAGTCCGCCCTCGCCGGGACGGGACTGGCTCTCTGGCTCGCTCAGACGCCGGGCGGAACCGACGCTCCGCCCCTTGGGGCTGGCCGCGCCTGCGCACCCGGTGAGCGCGGCCAGCCTTCCCAGCAACCCTCGCGTGCAGCCCGTTAGGCCCCGGGGGCTGTGGACTGACCCGGGCGGTGGCTCCGTAGCTTCTGTTGGGCATCACGGCGGGACCGGTTCCCGCCCCCAAGTGAGCAGTCCTGGCCCGGAGCGTCGGCCTTGGTCATCCGTAGAAAAAGCGTCGCGGCCCGGGGGGTAAGGAGAGGGAAGGGAGGCTCTGAGCCGCCTCAGAGCGTTCAGAGCCCCGCTCCTCAGGCCCGAGTGTGTGTAAGAGGGTAGGGGTGTAAGTGCGAGTGTCTGTGGGCGTGACAGGACTGGGGTGTAGCATCGGGACTGTGTGCAGTTGTGAGGCCGGGACTGATGGCGTTTGTGTGACTGAATTAGGTGCTTTAGGTCTTCCCTCTTGTGTGAGGGAAGACTGTCGTCGCGGTGGAGTGTATGACGCTGATCCCCGCCGTCACAAGATCCAGCCATGGAGAACTGGCCCCAAGTCAGTTTCTGAGCGCCAGAGAAAACTCCCAGCAAAAAGGCTCAGACCCGATCTTGGGATAAGAATGTTAGAACCGAGCGCTCCCCGTGGGTTGGGCCCCGGAAGGCCTCCCACCGCATACACAGTCACGGCTCTGCGGAGGAGTCCATCCGCGGATTTCAGAACCGCTGAGTTACCTCCAAGAAGCTGTTGGGAACTCCGATTCCAGTCCCGGGCATCCGCGACCCAGGCCTTTCTTTGACACCGGGAAGGCTCAACAGTCCTCTGCCACTTATTTTACTCTGGGTATGTTTGGGTGGTGGTTAGTGGGGGCACATGTGGTAGTGGCATTGTTCCCTGATTTAACCAGGTTGGCCTGGGCTCCTAGAAAGACTTGGTATGTTAAGATTCCCTTCTTACTCGATCCCGCTGAACTCCAAAAAAGGGCTGTGAATAGGAGGAGGAATGATTGTTGCCTATTTAAAAGTCAAGGTCAAGGGGAGTGGGTATTTCCTTTGTTCTGTGAAATGCAGTTTTGTTTTTTAGGACTTGGAAACATTTGCTTCCTTCTCCTTAAGTGTCCTTCCCTAGTGCCTGTATCCACATAGCCATTTGGCAGATGCTTTCCATTATTTCTGTGAGCTTTCTTTTTATAACTATGTATAAAGCTCTTAGAACAATTCCTGATACTTCGTAAGTACTTGATATACATTAGCTATTTATTGTTAAGTGGTGATTTGGGGCAATTCCCCATCAGCCTTCTATAGAGAGGGAAAAATGAAAATACCAAGCTAATTGTGATAGGCATTTCCTAGGAAAAAATTAATGAGCCAGATGATGTTCAAATAATCTAGAACAGAAATTCTTAATCAGAGGTAATTTTAATTCATTTGAGGCTTTCAGGGGACCAGACACCCTTTGAAATTGTATGTACAATTATTGTAGGTATCTGTTAATATGCTGTTCTTCTGGAGAGAAAGTCTATAATGAGATTTATCAAACATGACCCAAAAAGATTCAGATTCACTGGCTTAGAATCAAAGACTGTAATATCTGAGAATATTCTTTTTAACCTTATACAATATTAGTGTCTAGCCA